ACGACATTGTATGCACGTGCAGGTTCGTCAGCTGGTGGATGATGGGTGGGTGGGTGTTCACATTATCCTTTAGCCACTGTCAGTAGTTGAGGCAAAAATTGATACAATAAAAGTGACAAACATAAATAAATACTTTTATTTGGCTCAAAAAGTAATCTCTGCCACATTTCGTAATTTAGTTGAGTCATGTGGCACATAAAAGCTCCACCGTCTTCGTTTCCCCCCGCCCCCACCCTCCGCCTATCAATCATTAAAGTGCTGAATTTACCTATAAAATTAGTTGATGATTGACAGGCAATAAACCAACCATCACCTCTGAGCTGAGCTACGAAGTAGCTGGATTGTATAACACCAAGGGAAATATTCCCCTCTATGTTTATTTTAATGTCCTCCTCATCAGTTAAGGGGGGGGGGGCCAGTTTGATCATTGGTTCACCGTCCCCCAGCTATCATGATAACCAGTGTTTCTGGACTTCGCATGGCCAAATATGTATGGGTGTTACGATAGTCATCTAACCTGAGGTCACTCTGTATATCTGTCTAGCCATCTCCCCTTACTATCTACAGTCTGTTTAAAAGATTTCAGGTCAATCCAGATACAATTTGTGCTAAAGCCTTGGCAGAACATGAAGGTATTAGAATCTTGAGTTTACACAGCTGTACTTCTGCACTCCTGTCAGCAGTCGCTGAGACATTAAACTGTCACGCTCATACGCAAGTGCTGTGATGGACTTAAGGACTCACGTGAAACAGAAGGTAGGTGTAATCACCACACAGGGCTTTTAAGTATTTTACTTATTATTAACATTTTAATGACTTTTACTCAAGATCAGATTACATAAGAAATTTCAAACCGATTTAATATCGCAAAAGTGAAGGATGTGTCACACTGACACTATGACACACAGAGCAGTGAGCGGCGATTGGGCAGATTTTACACCTCTCTAATCGGAGGTAGCCACGTTTATGGATCACCGAGTAGTGAGATAACATTTCCTTTCCCACCTAAACGGTACACACTCCAGAGTGGCTGAACAGTGACAACTCGGAATGATACCTCGACACTGGTAGCTTGCGGCTGTCTGCAAATACTCCGTGTGGACATTGCCTGATTTACGCATCAGCTGCCTCCAGAGCATACACAAGTGCGAGGGAGTAGCACACCCTCTCCACGTACCAAGAGAAACTGTCTAAATGAAAATAAATCAATCATTCGTTCCTTCGACTTTGCTCGTTTCCTGGACTTCAAAGCCTCTGCAACAGTGGGAAGGGTGAGATGGGGTGGTTCAATGATCGCCAAGACGTGTCCGAGAGAAAAATGAGGCGAAAAATGCGGAAGAAGGAGGGTAGGTGGATAATGGAGTTTGAAGCAAAATGGGTGAAACTTTACTTTTTTAACCTCCGCTTCTCTGTCAACCGACCAACCGACTGACTGAGTGACTGACAGAGGAACTAACGTCCACACCATACTGATGCGAAAGAATCACTGACTCAGGGGGTGGGTGTGTGCATCAGTCACACGAGGACAGTGATGTGCAATGCACCCTCCCTTAAGAAGTCGGTGCTCTACTGCTCCCACCCTTCCTGCCAGTCGTCCACAGTGCTCTGCAGCCCTCACACCCAATCGCATTTGTCACACACAACTCATTCTCCACTCCTCCATCACCTCAGTGACGAGACAGATAACATCCTTGTCCTACTCTTCGCACGTCTGACTTCTCATGAGGAGGACACATATCTGTGGAAATGAGGTTATGGTCACGACACACCACCACACACACACACGCATGCACACACACCCATGCACACACACCCGTACACGCAGACATTCAACCTGTGGAGTGGGAGACAATGCTGCTGCTGCTGCTGCCGCCGTTGCTGCCATGCTGTTCCCTCAGTGTGGGGATCACCTCCATTACTCAACTCCAACACGAGGATACTTGTGAAACAGATGTGGGCAGCCTGATACAGCCACACGTCCGTAATCACTATTTCCCTCATCCACCCATCCGCATTGTTCACAAGGAAGGTGTGAGTAGGATTGTGTGTGATGTGGAGTGGAGTCGTAGCTCCAATCCATACCTCGCATATTGCAATGCATGGCACGTGAGTCGAATTCCATCTCACACCCATCCACTCCACGCCTCCATCCATCCACCCCTCCACCCACTCACACACCCACACACCCACCCACCCATCATCCACCAGCTGACGAACCTGCACGTGCATACAATGTCGC